CTTAAATGACACCCGGATAAAAATTCTGATAAGGAACAAGCAGATAAGAAATTTAAAGAAATTGGTGAGGCCTATGCAGTTTTATCAAATGAGGGGGAAAAAAAGCGTTACGATGCTTCACTAGCTAGCAATAGCAAGTTCGAAACAAGTTCGGACTTTGATTTAAAGGAGTATTTTGAAACTCAATTAGAAGTAATTGGGGAAGAAATAAAGTGATATCGGCAAAAGCGAGAAGAGGCGGAGAAAATAACTGAGAATTATAGAAAAATAGAAGAAAGAATAAGCGAGTTTTTTAAAAAAATTGAAGAGAACGACAGAAGAAGACGAGAGGAAAGAAGTAAGATAAAACTTTTAACTACTACAGATAGTAAGTCGAAAGATTTACCTCAATGAACCATTTTAAGTGGTAATCGAATAGGTATTTTAGAAGCAACTAGCAGTCAATATAAATCAAATCGAGCTTTTGATCTATGGGTGGAAGAAGGTGATCTTTGTGATGGCGGAGGAATAGTTTTACATAACAAAGAAACCAAACGACAACAGGTTATAACAAAAATCAAAAACACATATAAAGAGTGAAACGTTAAAGTAATTGAAATAAATGGAAAGGAAGAAAAATTATTAGTACACAATTCTTTTGATCCTAACGAATTATTCAAGTATATTAAACACAATGAAAAAGGAAAAATGGTTATTGAAGGAACAACAACGGTTTATGGTAAAATTCATTGAGTAAATGGCTTTACTAATAAAGAATGAAGTGGGATTAATGAGTTGCTTAAAGAATACAAAAGTGAAATACTACTAAAAAAAGTTCGTTAGCAGAATGCCCCATTATCACCGTTTTTTTTGTTTTTGTTGTTTTATTGTTGGTGTTCCTCTTCTACTTTTTTAAAAAAACAAAAATAACCAAAAAGACTAAGACTGGTGTTGACATAAATCATGGGTAATATTTAGAATCTAAACAAAAAGTTAGCCACCATTAAAAAAAAACACATGGCAGCAAAATTTAAAAACTTTCTTGAATTACAAAAAGTTTTTTCTACGGAACAGCATTGCCTTAAATATTTAGAGAAACATCGCTGAAACGGAATTATTTATTCGCCCTTTGATTCCAATTCCAAAGTTTATAAATGTGCCAATAATAAATATCTTTGCAAGAATACCAAGAAAAGTTTTAATGTGAAAACCGGCACGTTATTCGCCAATACTAAAATGCCGTTAATAAAATGATTTTGGGCTTTATATTCTCTGGTTTCACGAAAAAAGGGCATATCTTCTTATCAGTTAGCCCAAGAAATTTCAGTCACCCAAAAAACCGCTTGAATTCTCTTAAAAGACTTACGAAATAACCTTAAACAGTCTAGTTTTATCCAAGGAATGTTAAAAAATGAAGTGGAAATAGATGAAACCTTTATTGGTGGAAAGAACAAAAACCGTCATCGAGATAAAAAAGTTCCTAATTCGCAAGGCAGAAGTTGAAAAGATAAAACTCCCGTACTAGTAATGGTAGAAAAAGGTGGTAATATAATCGCTCAAACAGTTCCCGACACTAAATTAAGTACTCTAGAGCCAATAATTAACGTTCACGTTAAAGAGGGAACAAACATTTATACTGATGAGTGATACCGACACAGCAATTTATCTCAAAGATTTAACCATCAGTGAGTTAATCACCAAGCCAAATAATATGTCAAAGGGAAAAACCCTGGCCACTATGACCCTATCGTCTTTTACTATGGCAATCAAAAAATTAATGGTTATGAAGCAACTAGATTAGTAGATTTTAGCGATGGAATGCTAGAAGCAAGAAATAATATAGAACTATCGCCACGGCAGAAAATAATTGCTGATCAGTGCGAAATAATAATAAGGTCGGTTGCTAAAACTGGCATCATAGCTCTAATAGATGAAGCCACTGGTTATCAAAAAGAAAGAGAAGAAACGTTACAAGAAATATTAAGAATATACGTTTCGGAGGAAGTTTTGAAATGACAAAAAACCTTTCACGATGGGTTTTACGAACAAATACTCAAGCTTTGGGGATGACCCTTTACTCCCGAGAGCATAAAAAAGAAACCAAAATTTATTGCCTATCTAACCGCTAAGTTAGTTTATGAAAACCTACCCAAAGGAGTATTAGAAAAAATAAGAGAACAAAATCCCAAAACTGAAATGGGTCGTTGAAGATATCACTTTCATCGATGACTAACTCCCGAAGTAGGCAGAGAAGATTTGAAAAGGGTAATCTATTCGGTAGAAACACTAGCCAAAGTTTCTAACGATAAAAATCAGCTTTTAAGACTGATGAAAAAAGTGTTTCCTCCTACTCAAAATTTACCTTATATCGACATAGAAAATATGGATGACAATCAACTGACTCTCGGAACCAAAAGCCGACGAGAAAATAAAAACCTTGTTAAACACACCATCCAACAAGGGAAATAAATAATGCTACTGTAAACTTGTATATTATTGCCAAAATTTATTGCTTAACTTTCCGAAGCAGTTTGAAGAATATCTCTCGTCGCCGAAACTATTTTTATCGCTGTATATTGTTGTCGATATCCTAATTTTTTTTTATACCTCTTCTTACGCTTATACTTCATTATGACTATCTTTTTCTTCAACCCATGTTTAATTACTTCTCCAACTAGTTGAGCGTTTGAAAGGTATGGCTGACCAAACTCTTCACCCCAACTCAAAATTTTATCAAAAGTAATTTGTTCACCGCTTTTAGTATTCTTTTGATAATCAATGTGGAAAGTTTGATTTTTTTTTTCCGGTAGGTAGTGATATTGTTTACCTTTTATTTCGAACCTAATATTCATACAGTCAAATTCTTATATTTATTAAATTATTTTAATTGAATTGTCGCCAGTAGCAAACTTTACCCATGGATTACCAATACTTTTGTTATTAAAGTTCTTTCCGCAATTTTTACATAAATGCTTGGTGTGAATATTTTCTGAAAACCATTCCACATCATTATGAGCGTAATGGCAATTCGGACATTCCACATAATCCATAGGCAGTCCGCTTTGCTTGGTTTTCAAATAAGCAATACCGGCCGTTCCTAAAATTTCCACGCCATTCAACATTACGGACGGATAATTGTCGTCGATAGTTTTTTCTGGCTTCCCTTGATGAACATGATAACCAGGAATAGTTATCTCATTTTCGTCAACCGCTAGTCAAATAGCAGTATCCTCCAAAGTTTCTAATTTTAGTATTCCATGATTAAGCGACAACTGTTCTCTTTGCGGACAAACACCACCAAAAGCCTCGTTTTGGTGATTTTTACACCAATAATAAAAACCTCGTCCAATTCTTTCTTTCATGGGTAAATTCTTCTTAGTAAAAGGAACATAAATATTACAATTAGGCTGTTCCTCACTAATATTAGTTAAATTAACCTTTTTATATTCATTTAGTAATTGTCTATTATTTAAACCAGCAAGAGACTTAATCATTTCTTTATTTTCGCCTGAAAACATTTTTATCTTTTTGGCTCCTTCCGAAGTGTTCGTTATCCTTCTTTTCATATCTTTTAAAATTCTAATGAATAATTATTATTTATTCTTACAATTTTTTAATATGGCATTTAATTTCCTAAAAGATGTTATAGGAAATAAATTTAATAAACGTCAAGGAAAACAAGTAAAATGACATAATAAGAATTCTAAAATTCGATTTCACTTACTGTTAAAATAAAACAATAAGTTTTTTATGCAAATAAATCTGTTTCTCGCCTGCCAAAAATGTTCAACAAAGCACCAAAATTATCGAACTTCTAAAAGCAAAAAAACTCAAAACAATAAATTAAATCTAAGAAAGTATTGCCGGTTTTGTCGAAAAACCCAACCCCACCGCGAAGAAATTATAAAATAAAACCTTAATTATTTTTGTCAACTTTGTCGATTTAACCTTTTATTTTTATTGCGACTTCTCCACCAAAAAAATAAAATCAGTAAAAAAACCAGGCTGCCGAAAGCAGCCATTAACGCTGGGGGGGGTAGTGTTCATTCCTCGATCTCATCTCTTGTAGTGCCTCCCATTGATTTCTTTCTAAAATTGCTTGCTCGATTTTGGGTAATTCTTCTTTATCATCAAAGCCACCTTCTCAATGAATTTTACCATAATCAATAATTAAATCACCATTTTTATCATAGCTATCAGGGTTGAAAGAAGAATGAACTATAAATTTTTCGGGCTTTTCGTAGCGATATTGCCACCCCAATTTTCAATCTCTTTTTCTTTTCGTAAACAACTCTTTAAACTCCCATTCTTCTTTCTTTACTAAAATAATTTCTAAGATATCATTTTTAGTTTTTTGATAATTACTATCAGTTAATTCAATGATTTGATTATAAGAACCAATTATCACAGCTTTCTGTCTTTTCGTCGAACCTCATCAGCCTTTTTTTTCTTCTTCTCATTCTCAAAATAAACTTACCTTTGGAATATCCCTAACCTTTAGTTTTTGGCTTTCTTGTATCTCTTTTCTAAATTCATCAATATTTTCTTTATGTTCTTTTAACCTCCTACCATAATCTTCTAATTCTGCTATCTGTTTATCAAGAATTTCTAACTCAAAGTCAAGTCTTTCTATTACAGTCCAACTTTCCTCTTCTTCGGTCATCAAATATTCTTCTTCAAAATCAGCTCGGTAGTTAGATTGATTATATTTTTCTCTAGTTTCCTGATTATCCAAAATCTTATAAGCCCTAACTATTTCCTTAAATTTAGCTTCGGCTTCTTCCCTAGTTTTAGCTAACGAGTTTCCGCGGTCAAAACTGTCGGGGTGCCAATCTAA